AATGCTCCGGCGGGGCGGTGTCAATGCCCCATGGTGGTTGTCGCTTCCACCCGGTACCACGCCCAATTCCTCCCTCTGGACAGTGCTGCTCAACTTAACGCGAGCCGCCGTGGTCTATTCCAAGCGGTCGTGCCGCCCGTCAACGGCATGGCGTGTGGTTGGGGAGAACAAATGAGACTTAGGAGAAGAATGACTCTCTCGCCCGTTTGGCTCCATGCCCTTGACGTTTAGGTTCTCAACATGAGGCGCAGTTTGAACTCCCCGACTAGAGCTCTTTGTCGAAGTTAGTTCCGGACGGCTCGCACCAATCAAAGAGAAAGATACCTTGGTCCTTTAACCCTCATCCTTCTTTACAAGGAACAGGTCGCGCTGAGACTTTCCCTTTAAAAGGGCAGAGGTCATGGGGTCGCAGTGCGAGCACCGGTATCCCCCTCTTGCCGAGACCCGAGACTAGAAAAAAAAGAAAGCTCATTCAATGTTATTTCCATATTTCTTCCAATATGCCTAGGGTCCCCCGACTATGCAATGCAATATCAAATTCTCAAACACTCAATCTAACGCTATTTCCAAGGCCGATTCTCATGGCTGGCCCGACAACCTCTCATCAAAAGGGCCACCCCTTGTGGCCGCTCTGATGGTCGCTTTCTCAATAGCCATCTTTTCAAGGGCCGACCCGTCGGCCCACCTTCAATCCTCAACTTTCACATTCCCCAATATTCATTCCTTATGACCGTCCCAACGGTTCATGCCCTTCTTGACTTAAGGTTCAGCCTTCTTTATCCTGCCCTTCTCATTCTCTTTCATCCATCCTCTTGGCTATTTCAATGACCGACCCACCGACGTTTTCCATCTCTTCCGTCCATCCCATTGGCTATTTCAATGACCGACCCACCGGCCTTTTCTATCTCTTATTGCTCATTCCAGCACATTTTCAATCAACCTTTCTCAATCAACCTTTCTCAATCCAATATGCAAGGGACCCCAGTGCCTATTTTAAAAGGAATGACCCTTGTCAGGGGCCATTCCCGAACAACCTGGTTAGGGTCGTTCTTATCCATTCTCAAGTCGAACAGCCTGGTTAGGGCCGTTCTTTTCCATTCTCTAGTCGAACAGCCTGGTTAGGGTCATTCCTTTTCACTCTCAAGTCGAATAGCCTGGTTAGGGTCATCCCTCTCCATTCTCAATGTTAGTGCCCGAGGGGGTAGGCCTCGAGGTCACGGATCCCATTTCTGTTTTGGAGGTTAGAAGGTGGTCATTTCGTCTTTTACGCGCTGTTCTCTTTTTCTTCCATTTCTCACAGTAATGTACTATCCATTCCATTTCTCACCGTAATGTACCATCCATCTCATTTCTCATAGTAATGTATCATCCATTGCGTACACCCGACTTAGCGTCTAGCACTCGAGTTGGGGCTCGCGACCCCAAGCAGCACTAGCCCACCCGGCCGTTCATCCATAACAAAAGGCAAAAGCGCCCCTTCCATTTTCACTCTTCCTAATCTCTCAGGTTTTCGGCTATTCTCAGTCTCATTCATGACTCAGTTGGATTAGGCTCCTAGGGAAGGAGTGTTCTTCACGCCCCTTGACCCATAGGTTCCCTAACCTCTCTTGTACTCGACCAATCATTCAATGTCATGGTTTGCTCGTCAATCCGTACTCAAGGTTTTCCCCTCTCAAAAGCATAATCCTTGTTCCATCCAAAATTCACAATACGCCCTCTCCCAATTGGTCTCATCCCAAATCCCATGTCTTTGTCTTAGGTACCCAAGGTAGCTCATCCCAAAAAGTAGCCTCTAAAAACTATCTTCTATCTTATCGTGACACAACCTTAGCTGACCCTCTTTTTGCTTCATCCTTAGCAAGTTTGCCCATACTATACACGTTCTCGTCATTCTCATATCTCTGCAGACAGAAAGCAGCGATCCTTTTCAGTGTTAAGTCAACACCTAGTTCCTATTACTGCCTTGCGTCTCGTCTCGCCTAGTTCCATGTCCACCCCGTCCCTCGGCAGGCTTCCTAACCCCCCAGTCCGTAGGTCTCGATCTCTCTTTTCATCCTTACAATTTTATGCAACCCTGCCTCGTTGAAAAAATCCAGTGGTGTGGCTTCCACCCCTGCCCTTGCGAGTTTCCGAGTCTTGATAATCCATTCGTGTCTGATTACATTGGTCCATTGCTGAAACCAATGACTGGGCATTGGTCCAATTTCGTCCTCCCATCTGAAAGCCTCATCGCCCGATTGGTGCATCGGAGGCCGCCCCTCTTCCCTAGGCCTTGAGATCTTATCCCTCTCATCCCCGCTGCTGATTTCTATGACTTCTCGAACATCCTCCTCCTCGTCCCCCTCGTCTTCTGTCTGAATGGGGCTATACCCACCTGCTAGGTTCTTCGGATCGTAGGTAAAGGAAATTTTTGTCCCCTGTTTCCTTGAAGTGCCCTCGTGACTAACCCACCCCTCCATTCAGTGTGTCAGCCCATCTGCCGTCACTCTCAGCTTTCCCCACTTCCAAGTCTTTTAGTTGTTCCCACCATCCCTTTCCGCTTTCATGTCGAGGTCGGCCCGATGCTGGCCTCCCTCTCCGGTGGGTTCCCAACAAAGTTTGTTTACTTCCTCCTCCTCCATTGCTGAAAATTCCAGGTTGTTTAATGTCGCTATAAGGTGTCTCATTCCTCCATGCGAAGTCAAGTTAATCCTTTCTCCGTTAGGACCCAGGATATGTCCCTCGAGGGTCCTAGAACACCGCCTTCTTATGATGTTATGGTTAAGCTTCGGGCACTGTCTAACAAAGTGCCCCATCGTAGTACAATATCGACATGATTCCGTGGCGCGATCCCTTCGACTAGCCTGTCGTTCGGGTCTTGGAGCGAGAGTTTCTTGGGGTGCCAACGCGGGTCGGGGTACTTGGGCTTGCACCACCATAAGGGTGCCACTTACCCTTTCTCTTCAGACGTTAACTCCTTTGTTTGGCCAAGGCGAGTCCACCAGTCCTCTTTTCGCTTCACCTTTAGTTGTCACCCGGCTCTCAGATTCTTCGTTGTTCCTCCGACGACTCTCTGTTCTAATACTCCTTCGAGCCATGCTGTCAGTTTCTTCCTTAGGTTCCCTAGTTCACTATAATCATCGTTCGTCAAGGATTGTTTCTCTGCCTGTTGGCCCGTTCCACGGTCCGCTCTTGGCTCCCTCCCTTCCTTTGTGGTCTCTTCCTCAGAGGGTCGAACTCCCTGTTCTACCCTCTCATCTCCACCCATTCCCCATCCACGGGGTTTCCTAATCATGCGCTCTCGTTGCATCCCCCCTTGCCGTTGCTCCTTGTGTAGCTCATTGTCGTCCATAGTTTCGACGTCGCTTATCATTTCCTCAATCACACTTGTCTTGTAATTTGCTACCATCTGCTCCATTTCCTTAAGTCTTCGTAGGGTATCCGCCACCTTCCTTTTCTTCATCAAACCACCCTCCGAAATTTGTGACTCTTCCATATTACGAACTATGACGGACCTTATTCCTTGAGATTTTGCGGGTCTTTTCTCGCTATGGATCCCTTTCCCCCAAATCCCCCTTGCATCGTTTTTGACCCCCTTGTTGTTGAACCTTCGACCAATATTTATCCTGTCGTCTTGAGCCCTTGGATTCCGACCATCCATGTTGCATGTTTGACCACGTTGGCCTCTTCGGCCCTTACCATTCCTTGTGACACCCATAACGTATCAGACCTGCATGCCATACAACCGAAAGAAGGAGAGACTTACTTTAGACCCTACCTCTCCTAGTTCTCCTATTGCTATTAGTTCTGGAAATGTTCCTGTCTTCAAATCAGCTTAATCATTTTCTCGTCGGGGTTGTCCTTCCACTTCCTCTCGCACCTTAGAGTCCTTCCTACCCTGTATGTTTCCCCGCCCTCTACTTGTCTTACTGCTCTGATGGTTTCTCCTACCAGTGTCACAAGCCGGAAGGACTAGCAGATCCTCCTGTTCCTCCATCTTTGGGTTCGCGTGTTTTGCGCAGGTCCGGTTTCTACCGGTTGATACCTTCCTTCGACCTCGTTGGGGGTCCTCTGTCACGCCTTGGCCCCCTTAAAATTCTTGTATCCCTTCCGGTCCTTCGGAGCCCGCCGAGACGCCGTTCTGGTGGTTCCAACTACAAATGCACCCGCGAGACGCTCCCCATTACTTCCTTGTTAGTCATACAACCGGTAATTATTGCAACGTCTCTCCTTATGAGTGTGATTTTCGCACCTCCGTCTACTAGAGCGTCTGTGTGATGCGTTCCTATCTGTGTTTTTAACTTCCCTACGGCAGCGCACAAAAACTAAGCTTCATCCCTAGTGGAGCCCTCATGACTTTCTCGCCTTCGCGGTCCGACAAGCTCAAGCGGATATCCGCAAAAGCTTTTTCTAGATCCTCCAAATCTCCAGGACTTCTTTGAAGATTAGCAACTTCTCGCGGAGCTTCTTCCTGAGGAGATCCCTTTCCTGATTCCCTTGGTATCATCCGAATTTATCGATTCTCTGTCCTTCTGTCCCTCCTCACTTTGTACGGCGCCGCCTCCTATGCCTGACCCTCCCTCGCTCCTATGATTATCTGTCTCATCTTACGTCGCCATTTTGCCTAGTTCTGCACAAACCAGAGGATCCCCCATGACACAGGCAGTGCGAGGTATTTTTGGCTCCATAGGTTCTGGTTTCTTTGACTTAGCTTATTCCGAGAGTAGCCCGCCCCCATTTCCGTTCTTTGATTGCTTCCCTAAGAAGGAGCCGCGGCCGGCCCTGCCGCCTTATCGAGCTAAGGGACATAACTTAGTTCCCTTTACGACAGGCTGTTTAGAGCGCCCTTATTCCGTCGGTCGGTGCGTAGGGGTCCGGGTTGGGCAACCCGCTAGGGAAAAGTTTTCCTGCGCAGTGTTCTGGCGGTTATTGATCATCCGGGTCCGAGGTCCCCCTTTCCTATTTCTGTCGATGAGCCTTCGAATGTAGCGGACTGTACTTGATTTGCCCTACTGGCTCACCTGTGGGTGCGTGTTCCGTTCTCGCCCTCGTGGCCCTTCTGGTTCGGTAGGCTCCTCGAATAGTTGAGCCAACCCCGTTAGATAATTCTCCCCTATCTCGATTTCCCTTTGGATTATGCGTTCGCACCCTGTCCAGTCTAGCCGGGGCGCACAAAACATCAGGATGTGGATGATTTCTAGTAATTCGTGGGCCCTGTTTCCCCAGAACGGCCCGTGCTCCACAGCGACATCGTAGAACATCCCAATGGTAGGGGAGGGAAAGTGGCCTGCCCACATTATTGCCGAGTCTGCCAGCTCCCGCGCCCTTGCGAGGCTCCCGAAGACGAGATCTATCATAAAACAGGGGACCCGGCACCTCAGCGGTGTGGTTGGTGCCCTGAACTCCCTCCAACCTCCCATTTCCACCCGGGTTAGCAAGCCCACGTTCCTTCTTCCCCTGACCGAATGTCCTATCCGGGTCAACGTCCGGGCGGCCCTTTGAAAGACTGGTGTCAGCTCGTGACCTTGTGCTATCTCTACCCCCAACGAATGTCAGTCAATCTCAGGCAGATACATGGTCCCGGTAACTTCCAGATTGGAGAACAAATCGTCTCCGAGTCCTCGGTTGAGTCTCACTCCTGTCCACCGACATTCTACCAATATGAAGGCGGCGTCCCTTCCCAAAGTCACGGCCCGCCATTCTACGTCGAGCCCCCGATAGGCAGAACTCGACGGGAGGGATACTTCCCATCGTCCACCGTTGTTCCAGGTCGGTCCGGGGTACCGGGGCTGGCGTTCCATTCGCACACGGGGCTGGCGTTCCACTCGCTCACGTCTTGCTGCCATTGTTACCTGGGTGATTTCCTGCATAGTCCACATAGAAAGGGTTACAGCCAATCCTCAGAATCCGCCCACCTACTATCTCCCTTGTCCTTCGTGTTTTCATTTCCCTTTCTAGTCCCAACTATCCCTCTATACCCCAGGGAGCAGTAGCCTCCTCGGGCTGTTCATACAGCCGGTAGAGATCATCTATGTAGGTCGCGCCTCGATCTACCTCTCGTCGGATGAATCTCCACATGGTCTCATCACTTATTTGCGGGACTCCCGGCCTAGTATTCATCGCTGCTCGTAGAATGCAAAGCACCTCGCCCCCTTGTTCGTCCCCGAAAAGCCCCATCTCTAGAGAAGGCCCGATAGTACTCTCGATACATTATCGCTTCGTCAAAATTTAGCCTACTTACGACAGTTACCGCCTGCTCCACTCGTTCTATGCTTCCTATTCGTCTTAGCAGGAAGGGCGGCTGACTCATCCGTACGATCTCATTCGGTAGCTCAAAGACCCCTGCTGCGGCAACTTTTACCTCAGCCGTCACGTCATCTCGTTCCAGATCTGCAAACTCAAACCCCTCCCGCCAGGTTATTTGTCATGCTCCTTCGAACATTCGCACGGGGTCATCCCCGGAAGCCAAAGCAATCCCAAAGGTCCGCCATCCCTCTTCTAACAGGTGTAAGGATCCCGTCGCGTGTACACGCCCTGGGCGGTTCAAGTCTACGCCCCTGAACTCCCCTCTCGCCCGCCATTCTAGCTTCATTACTAGGTACACCGTATCTTCCACCAACTCTACCCCCACCCAGTCCATTACCGGATTGCTTACCGTATTTCTCGCCGGCAGGCTTATTTTGACCCTGCCCTCTGATATTTTTGGTGGCAGGATCCCACGAGGTCTATCCGCCCAGAACGTTATTCGTCGGGTCATCTCGCAATGACTCCTTTCCTGCTTTCTTAGTCCGATCGCTGCGCCCACCGAGATTCCATGCCTTTCGTGTTGTAGTCTTTCAACCCTCCCTTCTTAGCGTACACAGGTTCCTGCCGATATCCCCAATTCATACACGTTCAATTCTACCCGACCCCCATTTTCGAGTTGCTGTCACTTCCCCCTTGTTTGGATCCTTATGCACCATCTACGGCCTAATGTACACACTCTCTTTCTTATGTTACACCTTACTTCACAAGCACTCTCCATACTCAGACTTTTTCGCTGTGTTCGATCCCTTGACCTCATTCAGTCGAACCACAATACCTCAAATAGTTTAAAGACGTCGTCTACGTAGGAGGGTGCAGCCGCCGCCTCCCGACTAACTATGGCGTCCCAAGACTCCGCCTCTACCTCTAGGCGGTCATACCTGCCTATTCTTAGGACGATAATGACTTCCTCGGCTTTATCTCCGTAGAAGGGCCCATATTTCAATGAGAGCCTATAGAACTCCTCAGTCAACCTGACACACTCTATATGCACCCTTCTCATGGAGTCGGCTACTTCTAAAATGTGCTCAAACCCACCAAACCACTCGGCTATGAATTCCGGTACCCAAGCCGTTATCCGTAGACTTGGAGGTTTGAGTTCCTTCCATCCTCCGATCACAACTCTGCTACTAACTTCGTCCCATCCCTCGTTGGCGAACAGCTTGCCTTCCTTTCGCGTTCGGGCCTCTGCATCCCCAAGAAGCCACATCGGGTCGTGTCCCATTGCTAACATGGTGCAAAACAGGTGTCATCCATCCTCGGAAAGGACAATCGTTCCAACTGACTTCACCTTGCCTTCTGTTATATCATCTCAACCTTCCTCTTCCCTTATCGGGTTCCAAATCCGCTCTATCCATACATATGACAAGTCCCGGACAACCTCAAACCCAATCCAGTCGCACGTGGTTCCTCTTCATCCGTTCCCTGTTGATAAAGACATTTTTATTCCTCCTCTGAGTCGCCGTGGTCCCCAGCCTTTGAAGGGGTATTCCATCATCCTTTCTTCTCTAGTCATCTTTCCCTTTCCTGCACAATACCAGGTCACCCGTCCTCCCTAAGTTAAGCTTCCCCACCCCTCTTAGAAGTCCCAGTCCTCTATGTCTTCATCTTCGTCTTCATCACTGAAGTCGTCCTCCTCGTCGTATACCATCTCCCTTACCCCATCTAGAAACGTCTCCCCTATTGCCACATTCCTGTAGACTATCCCGCAATGCACAGCGCTAGGGACAAAGATATTGTCTATGCTAAGGCAGTTTAGTATCTCGGTCAGCTCCTCCGCCCAGTTTTCCTCGAACGGCCCCATTTCTACTAATAACCGAAAGAAATCTTGCCTAGCGCATTGGTATAGCCCGAGGTTCACCATGGACTGGTATATCCGTACTAACCTGCTCCGGGTCCCGAAAACCACATCCACTAGGAAGGAGGGCAGCACACATCGCATGGTTCTTACAGGTCGCCTCATGCTTCCTCTATCCCCAAGTTCCACCCGTACGTCCACCTTTTCCATTTTCATTTCCCTCCGTTGGCATGCAGCCTACACAACCTCTGCTTCTGCTTTCCTAAACAACTCGTCCGACGTATTCCCGAGTGCCAACTCTATGATCATAGATTTCTCCCCACCTTGCGACAAGTAAACCCACCCCCGGGCTTCCACTGTCCCTCGGAATTTCAAATCCATTAAACTTGGTAACGACCTCGTCAAGTTGACATTAGTCCATATTGTTTCTATCCAAAGGAAAGCATCCTCTCCTTCCAGCATTACCGTTTGATACGCTGGTTCAAGGTCCGTCCACGTTCCATTTTCCGGGAGGACGACCGATACCCCATCCTTTATATCTACTGGCATTTCCGGGCCGCTGGTATAGATCGGGGAAGGCAACCATCGCGCCATCTTGTTTTTAGCACCCGACCCCTGTTTTCATAAAAGGGCATCAACCGATCCTTTTGGTCAGGTCAACCCTTGTCCTAGATGAGAATTATGTCAGACCCCTCATCAAGGTCTTCATATTTTACCTCCCCTTTCCTAAGTACCCTTTTCCCATAATTTCCTCGATCGGCCATCCATTTGCCCACATTCTTTCTTTTGGTTTCATTCTAATTGACCTCTATCCTCCTTCCTTCTGATCACCTCTCACTTGTGCGGACTTAGATGGGAGGGGGATTAGACTTAAAAGAGTGCCCGTCCAACAGTCCAATCTCAATCAATTTTTACAGAGGGGGAACACACAGCCTCACATACGGGCCGGTCATCTCCTCACTGGCCATCCCAAAATGGTCTCTCCACTGGTACTATCGGTAGGGTTTTATCCCATACCTCAAGCACAGCTCAACCGTCGCGAGCGCGGTACCCAGGTCTCAGCAAGGCATTCACTTCCATCGGTCCGATAAGGAACAGTTTTTCCCAAGCCATGCTACGAGAAGCTCTCAATCGCCTCCGAGGCTCCTTCCTTGCCCCATATGCAGTGGTCCCCCTGCCGTCTGCCGCCAAGCAGCCGCCCCGCCTTAAGAGGTTTCACATCCCACCTGGGCAAGATCATCGAGCCGACGAGACCAACCCTTGCCTGACAGTCCGGTGGCCCGACCCCACACACGGAACCCGGTGAACTTCAAAGAGGACGACCAGCTCGCATCCCGCACCGGCTGGCGCAAACCAAATTTTTCCTTCCAAATGGCAGGACGCTCGAAATCCCAATCATGCAATCACAAGTCTCACGTGGGACACACATAGTACAAGTGCCTTTCCCTTGGTGCACCCAACGCTTCCTACCCATAACTCACATATTTTCTCTCAGGACATTGAGTGTCACTCCCCCTACTTTCATGCATAGTGGTTGGTTCATTCTCGTGAGAATCTTCCAGGGTGAGCTAGTTTTCCTTGGAGTCTAGCAACTCCCTTCATTCCCTTCATTAAAAAGGTGCAAAATGCATGAGCCCGTTGGCCGCAAAAGACGAAGGGGAAAGCACCCATTTGGTCGGATCACTCTGCCATGGGATTTTCATTGGAACTTGGCCTAAGCCAAGCGCCAACCGCCTGCCAGGTAACCGGAACCCTTCTTTCATACGAAGAGGAAGGGTAGACCTGCGACTTGCCCAAAGCTTCCTCGGACTGGCGAACACCAGCACCGGACGAAGGAGGGCTAGAACCATTCCACAAGGAAATGGTTGATCAAGTGCATAGCATGCATGTTATACCTCCAGGTCTGGCCATGCCATGCGGCCAGCCACCTTCAAATCTGATTTCTCACAAGGGAAAGAGCAAACACAAGTCCATTTTCCTTATCTTGGGTTGTGTACACGTCAATGCGTCGGGCGCCCCCATCGGAATCGCAATGGTCAATTTAACCC